TGGGTAATTCATTATTTCCTGAGCTAGCACATTCTACTTTTGATCAGTTTTAATTGCTTTTAAACGTTTTATTGATTTTTGTTCCTTTGTTGTACATCACTGTCAGTTCCCACTGATCTCTGCCCCTACACCCCCAATAAGTGCCTCTCTTGTTAAAAATATATATATATATATAATACATATATATATATATATATATATATATATAATATATATATATATATATAAAACAAATGGACACATCATCCATGCATGAAAAAGTATGCCTTATTCTGCACCTCTCATTTGTTAACTCTCTATTAAGCTATCAGAGGCATGCGAAGTTTTAATGTTTGTGTGGAGAGTTGAAATCATTCTTTTTTTTTTTTTTAACTTCCTCCCCATTCTTTGCTCTGGGACCAAGCTAAAGAAGTGTAATCCTTTTTTCACATGACAGCTTTTCAAATACTTTACTATAGTCATCATTGTATTCCCCCTTCCTCCCCTTCCCCCACATCTTTTCTTCAGGTTAAACATTGTAAATGGCTTCCACTGATTCCCCCCACCCCATATAAAACTAACCCATTAATTACTGTATATATACATATAAATAACCTACATGTTTACATATCTACATTATACATACTATATATGTACACACTGACACATAAAATTCATTCTCTCTGTCCCTATTTCTCTCTGATTGAATGTAGACCATTTTCGTTTGGTTTTGTGTCCCCAGCATAGTGTGACTGGCACATAACAGCCACTTATAAATGCTTTCTGAATGCCTGATTAGAAGAGCATGAGGAGGAGGCAGCTAGGTGGCGCAGTGGATAGAGCACTGGCCCTGAAGTGAGGAGGACCTGAGTTCAAATCCAGCCTCAGACCAAACACTTGACACTTATTAGCTGTGTGACCCTGGGCAAGTTACTTAATCCCAATTGCCTAATAAATAAATAATTAAATAAACAGGCAAATAAATAAGCAAACAAACAAACAAATAAATAAATAAATAAGCAAACAAATAAATAAATAAAAGAGCGTGAGGAGTAAGCACCTGGAGAGTTTTACAGTTAACCCTGTGAGTTATACAAAGACTTCACCACCTCACATCCAATCAGTTTGGTAGTTAAGAAGCTGGGATATGAAGAAGGCTACCAGCCACCTTTTTTAGTTTACTGGTATTTCGCAACTTCCCCTTGCGCAAATATGTTTAATAATAGAAGGACCTCGTAGCTCTTCAATTACACTGATTCTAGCACAGTTTTTTATAGTGGCAGAGAGGAAGAATTAAGATGACTCCAAAAGGGCTGGATTCTAAAATCCCATGATGACCAATAAAGGTGGCAGCTGCGTGAGAAACCTGATGCTCAAGTGGTCATTTCTAGGCCTGTAACGTAGGTTGTGGAGAGTTATTTCACTTAATAAAGAGGTTATCGGCAAGGGGTCTTAATTTTTGTGCCTGACCAAATGATTCTCTAAAGGGAAAGTAGACAAACGCCTGCTAGGTCACGGCCATTTGCAGCAGGCACTCTAAGGACAAAGGGTAGGAAAATTCAAATGAAGGAGAAGGTAATCCAGCTTTGCAGAAAGTCTTGTGCCTACAGCCAATAAAAATTTTTGGTGAGGTAGGTAAGGACATATGTAGAATATTGTTCATTTAAACCAGATACCCTGAAAGATGAGAATGTTTTGTAATTGTATTAGACCTACTTCTCATCACAAGTTTGTTGTCATTGAGTCATTTCAGTTGTGTGACTCTTTGTCATTTGGGATTTTCCTGGCAAAGATGATGGAGCACTATGCCATTTCCTTCTCCTTTTACAGAGGAGGAACTAAGGCAAATAAGGTTAAGTGACTTGCCCAAAGTCACACAGCTAGTGTGTGTCTAAGGTCAGATTTGAATTCACAAAAAGGAGTGTTTCTGACTCTAGGCCTGGTGCTTTATCCATGGTGCTAGCTAACTGGCAGTTAACCATCAGCTTTTACTCTGGAACTGCCTATATTTTTATAGACTTGTTGAATTCAGTTCAGGTTGCTTGAAGTGCAGAGAAACTTCAGAGGAAAAATGGGTATGCAATTTAAAGTACACACACGAATATGAAATGATACACATTAGATGAAGGTGAGTACAGAAATCTTGTGTCTCCTCATTTGCATGCCTTCGGCTTCCATATTGTAGTTGAAATGAGTTTTCTTGGTATTGAAATAGGTTTCACCTCTTCAAGGTCACTTCAAGGGCACATCTTTGAACTGCTGACTTTGCCATAGGATGGATCTACTCCCCTGTTTGTACAGTCCTTTGAAAGAGTGGACATAAGGCCAGCTCAGCAACACCAGTTATGGACAACAGGGAACTTGCAGATGAATGACATTTATACACAGCCTAACACAATTTAAGCTAATAGTATTCAACTTCCTTCTCACCAAACCTTTACTAGATATGCTAAAGCACCAACACTGATTTTTAAATTGCAATTTTTTCCCTTTTTTTCTGCCCAACTGTTAGTAGAAGCTACTGCCAAAATAAATCTCCTATTGCCTGGGTCTGTTCATATCATTCACTTGCTCAAAAAGCCTCAGTGAGGGGAGGGGAGGTTAAAATGCAAACACCTTAGACTGGAACTTGGGGCAGCTGGGTGATACAGTGGATAGAGCCCCTGACCTGAAGTCAGAAAGACCTCAATTCAAATCTGGCTGCTAACAGTAGCTGTGTGGCTCTGGGCAAGTCATGTAACCTCTGTTTTCCTCAGTTTCCTCAACTGTGAAGTGGGGATAATAACTCCTCCCCCACAGGGGTGTTGTTAGGATCAAATGAGATATTTGTAAAGTGCTTGTATAGTACCTATGTGTCCTGGAACACAGTAGATACTACATAAAGGCTTATTCCCTCTCTGTAGAGGGCCAGCTTTGGGGAGTTGGAGGGCTTAGGCCAGCCCGGGTCTTACCTGTAGATTGTACTAAGCCTGACAGCTGTGAAACTCAGGATGTTGGCTCACCACCCCCATTCCCTCTCTTGAGAACAGGATGCAGGAAAGGAGGAAACGGATGGGGTACAGGACGGGACACAGGAAAGAATGTAACAGACAAGGTACAAGGAAGTAAGGAAATCACCTAATTAGATTTGTACTTTTCATGAAATAACAATGTTACTATTGCTTGATCCAGTACTATATAAGCCTGAGCCCTCAGATCAATAAAGAGAGTTTGTTCTTCACTGCTCTCACCTGGCCCGTGATTCTTTCTCTCTTCACACTCTGCCGGCATCAGACCACAGCCGGGGACGCAGGCGCTCCTGGCACCTCCCCTCCCCCCCAAGAATTGAAAGTCCTCTAAATCTTATTTTACACTGCTCTTCTTCACAAACTGTATGTTAAAAAACCAAATTGGGCTATTAGCTCTTCCCAGAACTTGACAGTCTGTCTTCCCTCTCTGTACATTTGCTTAAGTCATTCCTTTTGCCCAGAACTCACTGTCTCCACCCCTCCACCCCTCAGATTCTTTGTCTTCTTTCAAGACTCTGTTTGGGTCCCACTTCTCTGTGAAGCCATCCAGATTCAATTTTCCTGGTATTAATTCATTTACATGTTCATAACCCCTCAGCAGAATGCAAATCCTTGAGGGAATGGAGTGTTTCATTTTGTGCACCAAGCACAGTGCCTTGTACCTAGTACTTAAATGGTTGGAGAAAAAAATTGTAAATTCTTAAATTGAAGAGCACAAGAGGGAAAAAGAAATAGATCCCCTTTGAACAGTCTATGTTCCAGCCAAATTGGACTACTTATTCCCACCTTCCCTCTGTTGGCTTGGGTCATGTTGAATCCCACGCCTGGAAGAGGCATCCCCTCATCTACATCTTTGGAAGTGCATAGCTTTCTCAAGGCCCAGCTCAGTAGTTTTCCCCTCCATGAAGGTACTTCTGAAAGTGATCTCTCCTACAAATTTTATAGTTGTCTGGTTCTCTCTTTTGTACTTCATCACCTCCCATTTTATTTCTGTCTTCCTTGTCATTACATTGCAAACTCCTTCAGAAGAGGGCATGTGTTATATTTATCTTTTGATCACTAATAACTAGCATGGGTGTTTAGTAAATGCTAGCTGATATCCTAGTCATCCAGTTAGACAAAGTAACTCTCAGATAACTTAACTTACTTGGCTCCAGTATACTTTATATCAGATAGCTTTCCCAATCCTAATTGCTTTTTTTGTTAATGTGTGGGTGTTTCAGCTGACCTACCCCACACAGACTGGGTTAGTGGTCACTACAATGACACTGATGCATTCCAAGTAAGTTTCTCCTCCCAGATGGACTACCATTACAGAAGTTCAAAAAAAAGAGTAATTAAAATTAAAAAGAGTCATTAAAAATTTTGTTCCTTGGGACAAAAGCAGAAATCAAGTGGTTGTGGAGGTTTTCTCCTTATGACTCTCAGGTCCTGTGATACACTTAGCCTCAAGCCTGCCTTGGCTAATTTCTTTTTCTTTTTGGCTCAGCAATGGGGTTAAGTGACTTGCCCAGGACCACAAAGCTAGTAAATGTCAAGTGTTAGACGCTGGATTTGATCTCAGGTCTTCCTGACCCCAAGCACATGGCTCTATCCACAGCTGCCCCCCTTGGCTAATTCCCTCTTCTGTGGCAGCTGTTCAGATTTAAACCGCTTTCTTACTACCTGCTTGGAGACATGTGCCTAAGAAAAAGCTGAGATCCCATTTTAATCAAGCTTTTCCTCAATTACAAACCACCACTGCACTTTATGAAGTGATACACCAGAACAAGGAATTATTTTGATCATATTCCATGTTATTAGAAAGAGACTTAAGACATCATTTTATATAAAAACAATTTATTGAGATGATGTAATTATAGGCTTTTCTTTAAAAATTATTTGCAACTCACTGGCCCTGAGAATAGGCATTTTTTTTTGTATTTGGTTACATTCATTTGATTCAGTCCCTTATAAACCCCACACCTCATAAACAACAGATTAGAAACTAAAAAAAAAAAAAGAGCAAAAAAGAAAAAATAAGTCTAGATTTATTCTGGATTTGCAGGTGGTTGTCACAAAGAAAAACCTTTTAAGAATAGTCACTGGGCATGTGAGAGATTGAGCGAGTTTGTGGTCATTTAGTGTTGATGCAGATGTGACTGAGAGCATCCTACTTGGCCTCTATAGTTTTCAACTAGGCAGAGGACTACTTTCATGTCCAGCTCTGGATTGGAACATTACCCCCTTCAGTCCAGGTCCCTGTTCAGAAAAGTAGTAGATTAAATGCTTCTGACTAGCACCAAATATTTTGGCAAAGAAATGCTACCTTCTTTTGTTTGTTTAGTTCTTTGTATTTTTCTTCCATCATTTTCTTCGGCTTCCTTTGAGGGGATGGGTCAAATGGACTATGGCTGATATAAATAAAGTTTGCTGTGTTCTAGGTCCCGAGCCTAGTGCTGTCTCTGACTTGCTGTCTCTAATCTTTGAATTTCTCTATGCCTTGCCTCCTATCTGCGACAGGCAGTTAATACTACTAAAATACTTTTGAGTTTTGGACTCTAGGTAGTGGAAAGTGAAAACCATATTTCAGCTCTCAACATTTTTACTTGAAAAGTAAAGATATGCTCTTGATTACACAAGCTGTCATTGTAGAGGGCAGCGGATGGGGAGGGCTCTGACCACATTATAAATAGAGATTCTTCACTGGGGTTGGTGAACTTGGGCTTTTTATTATTATTACTATCTTAACAGAATTGGTTTCCTTTGCAATTCTATAAATTTTGTCTTGTGCATTTAACATCATTCTTGAGAAGGAATCCATGGACTTTGCCAGATTGCCAAAGAGGCCCATGACACAAAAAAGTCTAGGAATCCTTGCTCTAAAAGACGGTCATCATTGACACCATTTATTGTCCCTAAGTGGCTCTTGCTCAGCTGGCATACTGTTGCCCCGATCAGGAAGAGACTAAAAAGATTTTGAAGATCCTAGAGTACTTGCATTCAGGCCAGCATCTCTGCCAAGATGTCCCTGCTTCAGTCTCGTGGAAAGGTGGCAACCTGTCAGTGATTTATTGAACAAGATGTCCTGAATGGAGTGGTTATAGTTTTCTGGCTTCCAATGGTGCAGAGAAAATGCGAGATGTTAAGGAAATGGGGTGTTAGAAGAGTTCAGGACGAAAGCTAGAGGTCCTATGGCTAAGAAAGGAGGCCAATTTTACTTTACCAGTTACATGGGGACTGTGTGGGATGGGATTCATGATTGGATCATGGCTGTAGAAGGTCATACCTTATTCAAAAAAAGCTGAATAGATCACGGGGAAATTGGAATAGCATTGCATATTAAGAAGTTATATTTGCATGGGAAATCCAGGAATGTCAAAAGGGGGACGAGGGCACATTGTGGAGAGCATCTGAGTAACAACCAATAGAGGGACAGATACAGAAGGACTGTTTTGGAATACAAAGACAAATTAGATGAAGGTTTCTAATTGAGCAATTCAGATACCAGCTGGCATCTTATCTGCCAAAAAGAGAACAACTGATAAAACTGAGGCTTGTCTTGACAACAATTTTATCTTTCAAAAGGTGGGAGAAGCAACAAGGGGGAACTGCCTTCTTGGACCATTCTGATCAACAAAGAGGAATTATGTCCTTGATAAAGGAGAAGCAACACAAACTTTGGGGCAAGTGGCCACTAAGATACCATTTGTGATGAAGTGTAGGGCAAGGGGTGAGAAAAGCCAAGCAGAGGTGGATAAACACCCAAACATATCTGGGGATATCATATTTCAAAAGGTTTCGATCCAATGGCCTAATATTTTGCTAGGGAAGCTGAGTCAAGGGAGTTGGAAAACTCCCAAGAATGAAAATTTGAAGACTCAGGCAGATCTGGTTTTGATAAAGAAAATGGGGGGGGTGCTGCTTAAAGAAACAGACACGGATATAGCAAGAAATCACTGCTCAATGAAGACTGTTTAGAAGACATATAGAAGATGGAAGAAAGGTGATTAACTGAGTATGAATATGATGGAGTAGCATGAACATTAAAAAGATGATCCTATAAGAAGTGACAGGAATCCTAGGGCCCAGAATGAACTAATGCTGACAATAAATACTAAGGAAAATAACAACAACAAAATCTGTATTAGGAGTATTTAGGAAAGAAGGACACTGAGAGAGGTAGGAATGATAATAGGTGAGAGTGAGAAAAGTAGAAAAGTTTGATTCCTTATCTGTCTTTTGTTTTCTCTTCCAAGGAGGACAGTTTTTGGACTGGGAAGGTTGGAATAAAAATCATCAGCAGGGAGTAGAAATCCATTAGATTGTAAGCTCCTTGAGGGCAGGGACTATCTTTTTCTTCTTTTTGTATCCCCAGTGCTTAGCACAGTGCCTAGCATATAGTAGGTGCTTAATACTGATTGACTGGTCCAGGCAGGCATCTAGTTGCTCTCTATTGGCTCAAGTCACTGGGTCCAGACAAACTAGAACTGATAGTGGTTGGGGGACAGAGACAGCAGGTGCCCTCTTATTGGAGGCTTTCAGACAGAGATTATACAATTCATTTTTTTTTAAAGATATTACAGTGGGATTCTTGGTCAGGGATAGGTTGGGCCATTTCAACTCTCAGGATTCTCAGATTCAACTAGAGAAGGAACATCTTTTCATGTAGCTCTCAACCTCTGCATATTTCTTTCCTTTCTTTGCTGGCCAAGAATCCCCATGAAAATGGCAGAAAGAAAATAAAGGAACTGTTTAGGGTGCTGAATGAGTTCTAAAACTTGCCCAGGGTGACATTTTGATAACGCCCCCATCTGGTGGGGAAGAAATGGCAGACAATTTCATATCAGTTAGAATCTGTCCATAAAATCAGAGGCTTTTAGGCTTGGATCATGTGAACACTGTACTTGTGGTTGGTTCCAAGGGTCCTATCTCTTCCTTCACAGAGCACACCATCAGTGGGAGCTTGTGGAGTGAACATAATTAGCAGCCACCTTTAGGGAAAGGTGTTATGTAAAATATCTGGATTAATAATGGATTGCTAAAAATACACATACACACCAAAAGGATTATGCAGAAATGGATACCTTTTGCCATTGCTTTCTTTTAACATTTTTACCTTCAGTAGTTTGCATTCCCACGGAGAATGCAAGCAAATATGAAACACTGAAGAAAAGAGGAACTTTTCCTGTGTAATTCAATCACACGTCCACTTGGATACTAAGAGACTCAACATTTGTCTCTAGCTGGGAGTGATCAGAAACTAATGTCTCAAAAATAAAGGAGCAGGATTTTCTTTCCATTTCAGAGCCACAAAATATGGCTAAGATTCAGGTAAAAATTCCTGCCCTTTTTCTTGCCTTCAAAAATCTTTTTTAAAAATATGAATTATTTTCACAACATACTAAGTACAGCCACTGGCTCAATTTCATCCCTTCACATTCATTATCACTTGTCTTAGACTAGGGTGAAAAATTTCTGGCTGTTGTTACCAAGCACACTTAAAAGATCTGTGTGCACTTGAACCATGTTGGGGTGAACCACATGGCATTTCACCTTTACGAAAGCAAAATAAAACCAAATGTTTCAGAGTCTGTCACTCTACTGACAGAAAGGAAGTCTTCTGACCTCCTACAAGCTTAACCATTCTAGACAATGAGAAAGCTATCATTTGATTTTGTGTTGACTTTGGGACATGTTAAGAGGCAAAGGATCTGAGTGAGACCAAAGAGAAAATTGTTGCCAGCACTTCCTGGTGCCCTGGGATCTTAACATTTGTCACCTTGATAGGTTCCCCTGTCAGGAACTGTCCAAAGAGAGAAGTCTGCTCAAGTCCTGAGCATACCTGACTTAACCAGGAAAGGCGGAAAAGGCAGGAGGGGTTTGTGGAGGAAACCCAGGTATTCTGTGTGCCTCAAATGGGGATGGCAGCTGCACCTACTGTCACTGAAGTAGCTGTGAGAGTCTTGCCAAAATGAGTGAGTCCACAGAAATGATATAGTTCATCAGAATAATGAAGCCTTATTTTTTTTTAAATTTTTTTTTTGTGGTGCTGGTGGTGGTGGGGAAAGCCTGTGCCCCTCATTCTGGAAGCCTTAACCTTTACAAGATAAACTCGATAGAATGTAAGTTCTTTGGGGGCAGGGATCAGTTTGTCTTTGTATCCACAGTACCTAGCACAATGTCTTGCACACAGCAGGTGCTTAATAAAAGCAAATTGAATTGAACTCAATTCTAAATGTCTAGAAAATTAAAAATGCCCATAGCATTTCTTTAAAAAAACACCTCTCTGTTATTAGTAAAAGTATTAAAAGGTGGGATAGTCCTCACCTTATGAGATTACTGACTTAATTTCCAAGAGAAACAGACTGATAAAATGAGCCCTTTCTCAAGTTCAGATATCCCATCCACAAGGAAGGAAGGAAGGACTGATGATGGGTCCCAAAAGGGAAGAGAAGAAGATCACTGCTGGCAGCTGGTGCTGCCCTGGAAATTCCTTTCATCTCAAATGTTCTAATTCAAATGGGGTCTAGGGGGAAAACAGGTTAAAAGAAACTATGAAATCATTAATAAAAATCTCTGAATAATGGGAAAGACAGGATAGAATGTGGAACTGTCTGTAAGACGATGTCGGGGGTGGGGCAAGAAGAACAGAGCATTTCCCTACCCTCTCTCCTCTCTCTAGGTTCTCTACTTTACAGGATATTTTTCATTAAGTCCCTGTGTTTTCTTATCATATTTTCACTCTTCAGTGTTATACAGAATCCTAATGTTTGTAGACATCTCAGGCAACTTGGGAGTGATGTCTATGCCAACTCTGGAGAAGGACAAATAGGTGAGTGCCCTTCTCCAATGCTGTATCGTTCTTTGTAGGGTGGTTCTCAGGCCTAGAATATGTCCTTTGGAAATACACCTGTGGAGTTCCTGACCTTCCTAAGGCATATTTGGGATGGGTGGCCAAATGCTGGTACTTTGTTTTGACTTTCTAGCACGTAGGTCACTGGCTTTAGTTCATGGGCCAGCAATTCCCGAGGTGTTACACTAAGCTGAACTATGCTGAAAAATGTCCAAAGTTCAAAGGCAGGCAGGAAGGAGAGAAGGAAAAGGAGAGAGGTAAGAGTGAGTGCCCCTTTTCAAAATTTTTTCTTTTTACTTAAACTTTCCTCCCCCACCCTCCAGCAGCCAGGACACAACAGCAACAGAAGCAAACCTTCTGTATACAGTAGAAGAAAATAAAGAAACCTTGCATACTCTCTTTCCTGTCAGGTTGAATTTTTATGCCATGATTTGTGAGACTTGCAAAAAAAATATAATTGATATATATATTTCCATAGGAAAGCAAACTGTCATCTTGCCCTATACGAATTATGAAAAAGTCAAACTGCATGTTCATAAAAAAACAGCAACAACCCCCAAACCCAGAAACTAACAATGGGCAGAGGGGTGGGGATGAGGAATTACAGGCCAAGGGAGATCCCCAAAGGAGAGTAGTTGAAATAGTATGTAAGTCCCAGGCTCTGGGCCCTCTACCAGAACACCAGCCCTGCTGCTGCGGGTGCTGGTGTCCCTTCTGGTCTGGTCACCTCCCAATTCTGTGTGTCTTCCTTTTTGCTCTCCCTCAATCCACCCTGCTCCCACACACCTCCAGCACGCCCGCTGGATGTTTTTTCTCGTCGTGGATCCATCCCGAGGTGGCACGTTGGTTCTTTCAGCATTCGTCCTCCTGGTACATTTGTTCATCCAGCTCTTGGGACTCAAGGTGCTCAAGGCGGTCTGTTCGGCCGCTCATGATTTCGTCTGGGGTTTTCATGAACCTTTTTTTTTTCAAGAAGAGGAGAGAGATTAAGTTTTTTTTTCCCCAAAGATTTCTCCACCCTCCCCCCCCACTGTGACCAAGAAAGGTCTACCATCACATGCTAGAGTGTTAGAGCTGACTTATCTATATTTCCTATTTATTGATCTTTGGAATCTATAAAGACCCGTTCAGTCTTTTTATCCCTAGAGAATGATACCATATAACCTTTTAGCTCAAAGGGCAATTCAAGGGAAAATGTAATCAATCAATCAGTAAGCATTTGTTAAGCACTCACTATGTGCCAGGCAGTGTTGCTAAGTGCTAGGGATACAAAGAAAGGCAAAAATATAGTCTCTACCCATGAGAAGCTCACATTCTAATGAAGGATATGACATGCAAACAACAATGAACATACAAGATGATGCACACATATATATGTATGAATGAACTGGGAGGCGATTTATATAGATGCACATGTATATGTATACGTATATATCCGTGTGGGTATATATGTATATGAACTGGGAGATAATTTCAGAGGGAAGCAAGGGGGAAGAGAAGACGATAAGTTCTCCTGCAGTAGGCGGGATCTGAGCCAGAGATAGAGGGCAGAGGGTGAAGAGGGAGAGAATTCCAGGCATGGGGGACAGAGATAGAATGTTCTGAGCAACAGAAAGCAAAGATGTCAATGATGAAGGACGGTAGAGTATGTGGAGGGGAGTAAATTGTAAGAAGACTAAAAAGATGGGAAGGCATCAGGTTGTGAAAGGCTTTATATGCCAAACACAGGACTTCCTAATTGGTCCTAGAGGCAACAGGGAGCCACTGGAGTTTACTGAATAGCAGTCAGACTTACAGACAGTGTAAGGCAAATCGGTGGTGTTTTTGGAGGAAAGGGAGAAGAAAAGGAAGAAAAAGGGTTAGCTCTATTATTCCAGAGCTTTTCGGGTTAAATCCTTCTTAACCCAACTTCTCCCCTAGGTGGAACGTACATTAAGTTCTAGAAATGTTTCCAATGTGTTGCCTACAATACTAGAAAAGCTGATGGTTTTATAATGTAATTTCAACTATGACACTAGATAGATATGGAAGATAAGCTTCAGAATCTCTCCTAAATGTTATGCCTGACTCCAAGCTCTCCTGTCTTCATCTCACCCTGCCAACACCAGATCAATCTTTCCTAAAACACCAATTTCATCAAATCACTCACCCGATCCAAAGACTAATAATTATGATAATAAGAATAGCTAACATTTATATAGCCCCTACTATGTGCCAGGCACTGTGCTAAGAGTTTTGCAATTATTATTTCATTTGATCTCAAAATTTGCTATGGAAAAGGAGAGGAAAACTGCGTATAGTTTAACAAGCACCCTAGATTTGGGCAGAACAGGTTTCAAAGGGCTCAGAGAAAGAATACAGAGGATCCCTTGAACTAAAATTTTAGAGGGAAACATCAAGACACAGAAAGAAACATTTCTAATGAGGAAGACTGGGGAAAGAGTAGATGCTAAGAAAGAATAAGTAGCATCTCATGAGCTAAAAATTCTACAGATGATTACACAGACAGACAGAAACAGTCCTGATGATGAAGAAAAGGAGAACTTGGGGCAGCTAGGTGGCACAGTAGATAGAGCTCCGGCCTTGGAGTCCAGAGGACCTGAGTTCAAATCCGGTGTCAGACACTTGACACTAGCTGTGTGACCCTGGGCAAGTCACTTAACCCTGACTGCCTCACCAAAAAAAAAAAGGGACAACTGTCTAAGAGACTGCTATGAATACAAAGGGAACTCATCACCAACAGCCATGGAAAAAGAGGAGGTATGACTAAAGATCCAGGGCTCTTTCCACTGGCTACACTGCCCCCTAAACTTAGATTGTTTTCTCTCCTGTTAGATGTTCGAGGACAGATATTATGTCTTACAAAATTTATTTTTTGTATCCCCCACAGTGCTAGGCATACGAACATGTTTGCAGCTGGTTTAATGGTCTGCCCGACATAAATACTTAAACAACGAATGATTTCATGATATACATTTACTTGTCACACTGGAGATTGCAGAAGCTATGTAACACACATATAGCAGAAAGAGTCCTTTTATTTGTTCATTAGCACTTGGAAGGTATATATTATTCATGCAATGAACTGGTGTGATCTCGAATCTATAGCTCCGTGTGGTAGTGAACATTATTTTTGAAATTTCCTACAGAAGAATGCTTTATCATACATTTTCAAGGATGGCCCTGCTAATATAACTTCTACTTGACCAGGAAGGACTGGAGAGAACTTTTGGTTCTCCTTCTCTCTGTGGTCCTGCTGTTTTCAATGTAGAAAATAAATCACTAAAGAAATGACAGCAGATTTGTGTTGTTTTTAATCTGTTTGTTTCCTTTCAGATTGATCTTTGAATACTCTTGGGCAGTAATGTCAAATTCAACAGGGCTGTTCCCATTAAGGTCCCTGCAGGCACATACTGACTTAGAAAAGCACACACAACCATTATCTGTATTATATTGTACTTTTATTCATCTTGTTAAATACTTCTCATTATATTTTAGTCCAGTCTGTGCCACTCAAGAGTATTGTGGGCAGCTGGTGGTGTGTCTGACTCCTCTGCTTTTGAGACTCACTCAGCTCTTCCCTATTTTAGAAGATGCTACTTGTAGCTTTTCAACATTCTCTTCTGTAACATTTTTGCTAACAAGTTTATATTCTACACCTGTATTCCCTTGGTTTCCAAGTCTCTGTGCTTGGAAAAGAGATCAAGTGTTTGCTGATGTGGTTTCCGGGATATTTTAGCCATCTTGTTCTGATGGCTTTAAACTGGCTAAACTTCTGTAGGAAATGGTAATAATCCCAGTGATTGCCTCCCCCCCCCCCATAATCTAGCTCCAGTCTCTCTTTCCAGACTTATTCTGCCTCCCTTCCAGAACTTTCTATTCCGGTCAAACTGACCCATTCATGGCTTCCTAAAAATGACATTCCATCTTCCATCTTGGCCCAGACTGTCCCCCATGACTAGAATCTTCTCTCTCTTCACTTCTGCCTCTCAGAATCTTCTGTTCCCTTCAGCATTTAGCTCAAGCCTCGCCCACTTCTGATCCCCCCCCCCCCGCCGTCTGTTAGCATCCCCTCTCAAGTTACTTATGGTCAGTCCATAAAAATGCCTGAATGAAATTTGGTTTAATCTTTCTCTCATCTACCATTTTTGATGTCAATAATTTGTTTAAACTGGTTAGACTGGAGCTGCTGTCATTGAAGCGTCTTCTTCTCGCCTTCATCTTTTATTCTAATACAGTGTTGTTGTAGCTAGTTGATAGCTGGACTGCACATAGGTAGCTGATTTTGAAATGACTCCCTTGTCAGTAATCAGTTGTTTCCTGTCTTTAAAGATAAGAGTTAGTCTGCTTACCAAGTCTGTTACCAGCCTGGCTGCACATAGGTGGCTGATTCTGAAATGATTCCCTTGTCAGTAATCAGTGGTTTTCTGTCTTCATAGATAGTCAATTTGCTTACCATCGAGTACCTTCATAGACGCCTCTTGATGAAAACGTTTACGGTATATAGTTTTGGAAGCTTGAGGTCTCTGAGCTTCTGACCTTTTTTACTCATCAAAATTTTTTTTTCTGCTATCTTTTGAATTTTTGCATCACTTTTATTTCCAAATATATCTTTCTCCCCCTTGTCCTACTCAACTAGCAAACCCTTATGACAAAGAATAAAAGAAGAAGAAAAAAAGAGCTCGGCTAAACCTGCTGAGTTGGACAGTAGATTCATTGTTCTAACTTCCTCTCCCATGCAAAGAAGGGAAGGAAGTACCTTTTGTCACCTCTTCTTCAGGGCCAAGTTTGGTCATTATAAAGTATTCCACTTCATTTTTGTTTTTAACGCTACTCTTTCCATTTCCACTCTTGTAGTCACTGGGTACAGTATTTTCTTGGTTCTGCTGACTTTTCTTTCCATAGAAGCCTTTCCATGCTCTTCTGTGTTCTTTAGTCATCGTTTCCTACACTGCAGTAATATTCCACTATGTTTAAGTATCACAATTTATTTAGTCATTCCCTAATTGATGGGTAGTTTCTGTGTCTTCAGCTCTTTACTACTATAGATATTTTGATATATTTACTTAGCACAGTGCCTCACATATAGTATGTATCTGATAAGTGCCTGTTGATTGTTTATGAGATCTCTCTACTTTTGATACGCTGGGGCCGGGCATATGATTAGCAGTGGAATCTCTGGGTCAAAAGGGATATGATTCGTAACTTGTGACCCTTCTTTTAGTTTTCTTACACCTTACTACCTTCCCACTCTCACCCTCACCACACATACTCTGGGGTCCAGTGATGCTGGCTTCTATATCGTTTCTTGAACAACACCTGCCATATCCCCTACTTTGAGCCTTTCACTGGCTGTACCCCCTGTCTAGAATGCTCTTTGTCCTCATCTCTGCCTCCTGGCTTCCTTCAAGGCCTCTCTAAAATCTCATCTTCTACAGGAAGTCTTTCCACATACCCTTTAATTCTACTGCCTTCTCTTTGTTGCTTTTTTCCAATTTATCTTGCATATAGCTTGTTTGTACATAGTTGAGACATGTTATCTCCTCCACTAGACTATGAGCTCCTTGAAGGCAGGGGCTGTCTTTTGACTCTCTTTGTATCCCCAAGGCTATGAACACTGAATATTTCTCCAGTTATTCAATTAATATTTTAGTAGATTAAAACCCAGGCATTTTATGTATTTTCTGGTTATTGTGAGGAGGACTTCCCTTTCTATTATTTCCTCCTGTATTATGTTCTTGCTGCAAAGAAATGCTATTGATTTCTGTGGTTTTATTTGGTGGCCTTCTACCTAGCCTCTTTGATTTCTTAATCTTGAACCCAATTTTGAACACTGTTTTTTGTCCTTTCATATGTCCACTTTCACACGGAAATCATTAAGTAGCTTTCTCCATGTTGACCTGGACTGTACGAATGTCTCAAATTCTTCATAGAATTTTTCTACCTTCTGACCCTCTGCAACTGATGCTGGTATATAAGCTAAAATCATTTTCGTGGTGGTTTTTTGGGCTCATAGTCATGGAAAGCATTGCAAGGCAAGATGACTGAGTATCCCATGAAATGGTGTTTTTTATTGTCTTTTGGTACATGATGAAACCAATTCCTGTTGTTGGAACCAAAGTCAAAGTTATTCCAGCACAGTAGGGCTGGCCAGGGTTCTTCACTGGCACATTCTTCACTTCATTGGTACATTGTTTGAGAATTCATGATCACTTCCATGCCACAACAGAAGTATTAGAGAAGAATTTCTGTAAAGACCTTTCCAGTACTCACAGATGATGATCTGAAAATTCAGGTTCAATTCTCAGCACACCAATGGTTTAATATGTGACAGAAAAAACTCCAGTGGACTTGAGCAGCTCGTTTATAAAATACAAACTTAATGCTAACTGATCATTAGTATTCTGGGAGATGAGTCAGCTAATACTTAACCAGTGCTTTCAGCTCTAATTGACTAAAAATAACGACAAATAAGAGGTTCTCCTATTATTTCCAAATGGCATTCTGTGTCTTTGGCTGTGATGGTCTATGATGTCACAAGATATATCTAGCTCTTTAGGCTCTAGCCTCCTAGCCAAGCCCTCACCATAAATCCTGCCTTGGAGGAATTTCTGCCCTGTGAACACACCAACTTCATTGGTGACTGCCTTTCCACAGGAACACCATTTAAGGAACGTCTCAGTCATACTTAACTTTGTTTTCTCTTCATAACCTCCTTAATACTTCCCCTTTGCCCACGCTCCAGTTTTGGAACCATCTGCCGCTATTCCTGGATAGGATGTGCCAATCTATTCCATTAGATTGTGAGTTCCTTGAGGGCAATGACTCTCTTTGCTTTCATAATTTGTATCTCCCGCATGTGGTACATAATAAGAACTTATGAAATGTTTTTTTTCCATTTTTAAATGTTTCATTTATCCCTTTAAAAATTTTATATTACTTTTACTTTTTAATGCTCCCATTTCTCCCTTATCCTCCTTGAAACAAAGAACTATAATTAAGAAAAAGAAACCTACACATTGGCCACTTACGACAACATATGGGTCATTCTGTGCCTATGGTTCCAAACCTCACTGTCAACAGGATGGAGGTGTATTTCACGGTCAGCCCTCTGATGCTAAGATTGGTTATTACATTAATCCGAGGTCTGATGTCTTTCAAGACCATTTTCCTTTGTATTACTAATGATCATTGCATAAATTGTTCTTCAGGCTATATTTGCTTCAGTTTATATCAGTCCTTATGAATCTTTCCAAGTTTCTCTGAATTCTTCCTATTTGTGGTTTTTCAAGGTACAATAACATTTCATTTCATTCGTATAGCACCTTTTCCCAGTGACTCATCTGATGAATACTGCTTTGTTTCCAAAGGTGCTTATATAAATACCTTGACTTTTTTGGAATCTTGTCTTTTGCTGTCCACCTTATTGGGGTATATACCTACTGGTGGTATCGCTGGGTCAAAGAATATGTGCATTTTAGTGACTTTCCTAGTATATTTTCAAGTTGTTTTTCAGAATGGTTGGACCAATTCACAGTTTTACCAATAATGCACTAGGATATATGTTGGAACCTTCCAGACTGTAACAATTACATAGATTTGGATAACTTTGATCCTCATTTAAAGAAAATCTACCACCTGGAAGAAGCAAAGTAGAAAAAAGGAAGTGGTACCTGAACAAAAGCCTTTGTCCTGGCTCCTTCCTGATAATGTTGAGTTTGTAGTAGTGGCGAAGGGCTCGGGACATTTTCTCATAGGTCATATTTGTTCTGTTCTGTTTGTGTAGAGAAGGAAGAAACAAAAGGACAAGGATGAAATGAACTTCAGAAAAGTCACTAAGGGGTCTATTTCAAAAGAAAACACAACACAACACACACATATACAACTCAAAACCAACACTCGGAGTGGTCCAGCCAGTTCTGGAAAGCTACCTGTTCTGTTCCCCTTCGGCTGTTTCCATGTCTGTTATGCCCCACCCCTTTGTTTTTACACACATGGCTGCGGTTTTCTTTTAGGGGATGAATAACCTTTTGTAAAACATCTTGAGATCAATAGGGAACAATGTACCTTTTAGCCATCTTCCTTAATTCTTCTTCTCACGAGTACTTTCTGGTTGGCCTGAGGAATTTCCCATGGGCCATTTTTCTGCTATCCCATCCATCCAGCCTCCCTACAGTGACATTCACTGAGCTGGCATTTCTGTTTTATGATTTACAATTCAGACTAAAAAAGGCCCAGGTGGGTAACAATTCTTAAAGCGGGGAAACATGATACAAGTCATAAATGGGAGGGTTTCCTTTCCCTTCCCACTAGGCCACGTGTTCAACTTCCTGTCAACATTATCTTTCTTTATTTGGTCAAGATTAAATTGTCAGGGCCTGTGTTTAGTTGTTTCAGTCCTGTCTGACTCTATGACCTGTTTTCTTGGCAAAGATACTGCAGTACTTTGTCGTTTCCTTCTCCAGCTCATTTTACAGATTAGGAACTGAGGCAAGCAGGATTAAGTGACTTGCCCAGGGTCACACAGCTAGCAAGTGTCCAAAGTCAGATTTGAAGATGAGTCTTCTTGACTCCAGGCCCAGAATTCTATCCACTGTACCACCTGGCTGCCCTATCAGGACCTATAGGACCTCCTTAATTATGCCGAGGGCATGCCAGAGATGTTTTTTTTTCCCTAGAAGACAGTGGAAATTCCAGAAAAAACTCGAGTCAACTCTCCGCTCTTTTAGTCTATACTGCTTCCTAATATAATGGTAAGGTTGTATCTTCACCCTTCTTTGTGGGAAAGTTTACCCCAAATCTTCCTATCTACTATCGAGCAGTTTGGGATACTGTACTTGAACTAAATTTGTTTTCCTCTTGATACTGTGGACTCAACAAATCCTGCTTTTCCAATTTCATCCTCTTTTACTACTTTCCTTAATCTCCCTCCTGGCTTTCAAAATGATGGGACCACCATATTTTGGGAATGATTACCATCACATTCTGAAGTCAGAATCAAATTGTTATCTACACATAAACTAGACTTTCGTTTTTCCTACCGTTTCAAAACGGGCAGGATTGGAAGTATCATTTCCCCAAAGTCCTCTTCTGAGTCATATTAGACCCATAAAGAGTCTATAACTCTTAGACTGCAAAGAAGTCGGGCCTTAGTTGAAGGAGACAGGATAGTGTTTTGAAATACTAAGTTAATGAGCAAACTTTACATGTTGGAAGGTGGGCTATGATAACATCTTTAATAATTTCCCCCTCTTTAGAACAATTAAGTATGAATTAAATAACAAACTCTAGAACTTGGAAATAGAAGACAGATAATTTTTCTCCAGTCCAAGGGAAAAAAGACTTAGTTTTGGTACTGTTTCACCAAATAAATCTTTGACTCCTTTTACCTTGTGATTTCCCCACAGTCGAGCCAATCCATTGGGATCCACTATCCGGAATATTTTGGATTCTTTGTCCTCCCATCGGATAAAATTTTCGTACCGGCTGTCAGAAAGCAACTGATAGACATAGTCCCAGAGCAGCCTGCAGTCTATGGGAAAAAAATGGCAAGAAAACAGTGGTGACAAAGGCTTCCTGGTGAGATGACACTCAGGGAAGAAACTTTTACTGAAACAATAATACAGGTGATACCTTTCTTTGTTATAGCTCAGTTCTCTAACTCATTTTAAACTAAGTAACTTAGAATTCCACCCCCTCCCCCAAATCTGGAAGATCCCTTCATTTAGGGAGAAGCAATGGAAAAGTTAATAATTTGCACAAAGTTACATAGCTAGTTAGTATCACAGCTAGAATCAGACCTCGGTCTCCTAATTTCAGACCTAACACTGCCATTAACAAGTTACGTGACCCTGGGCAAATCATTTCATGCTTCTGGGGCTTAGAGGCCTCCCTTAGAATGTAAAAAGATTACATGGTCTCTAAACTTACTTCTAGGTGTCCAAGTGCCCTGGTTCTTCCAGTAAATTATTTTGGTTACATTTCTGTCACTGTGATCAGTCACTATTTGCAGAGGGTCCTATAAACCAGGGTTTCATTTTTCACACAGTTTCTAATGGGGCAGAACTGGAATAGTGGAAATGTCATTTCCCCAAAGTCGTCTTCTGAGTGATATTAGACCCATGATGAGTCTACACCTCTTAGACTGCAAAGAAGTCAGGGCCTTAGCTGAAGGAGCTAAGGGATGGGATGGCTTTTTGAAATATACCTTTAACAAACCAGAAATACTGAATATATGAGCAAACTTTACACACTGGAAGACTGGCTACGATCTGTACGTTTGTACTGGGTACTGGGTAATGAAATGAGGCTGTACTCAAAGATCAGGATTTAGTGGCATTCAGAGAAGATGGTTTTTTGAGGCAGCTGATCCTGCTGAAGAAGATTCATCAGGTTCCCTAAAAGACCACTGGATCAAAATGGACTACTTGCTAATATACCAGGTGCCTCCACAAAAGTTCTACTGTGTAGCTTCATCATGGCATAGAGGTGACCTTGAGTTCTTCAAGGAAATAGTAGTAGATGGCAAACACCTGCAGATTTTGCTTGACAAGGAAGGCTTCAGGTGTAGGGTTGGTAACAAGTAAAGTCAACAAACATTTATTTTAATTTACTTGCTATGTGCCAGGCACTTTGCTAAGTGCTGAGGATACAAAGAAAGGCAAAAGAGAGTCCCTGCTCTCAAGAAGCTCACATCTAATGGGAGAGTCAACATGCGAATGCCTATGTACAAACAAACTACAGACAACAAATTGGAGATAATCTCAGAGGGAAGGAACTAGAATGATACTAAGGAAGACCTTAAGAAAGATTATGTGTCTGCTCCTCATGAAGCTTCCTAAGCATGAAGCCATCAGATGTGGAACAAAGAAACCTATGAAGCAAACAAATTATAATATAAAATATATAATAATATATTAAACAAAAATATATAGTTTCCAATCCTAGACAGCACCTTTCTTCTTGGGAAACAGTGGTAGAATGTATTAAAAATCACAAAGTTTTTAGACCAACTATGTGACATGTTGTATTTTCTAGATGAGGAAGATGAAACCCAAAGAAGTTAAGTGATTTGCTCATGGTCACGCTAAACTAAGTCTTATGATCATTCTGCCATACCACAATGCCTCACAGACAGGATGATGTGTAGGTTTTCCTTGAGGAAATGAGCCCTCCTCTTTTCTGGGCTAAGTTGAGAAGAGGTTAAATTTTTAAAAATTAAAAAGTATACAGTGATAGAAATACACTGAGGTAAGGAGGGGTCTGGGCTGGGAAACAGACATTTTGGGGTTGGGGTAGAACTGGGAAGATAAGAGACACAAGTGAAAGGAAGAGGAAGGCAGAACAAAATATTTTAGCACGATTTGAGGGAGGAAAAAAGAAATAATCATGAAATGGAAGGATGGCACTGTGCTGGGAAATGAGAAAGTGAGACACATAATACTTGCTGCCAAACAGGTTTACGCTTGAATGGGGGAAGGTCAGACATATGGGAGTGATGGCCAGGCAGGGGAAGTTTTAGTTTTGGGAGTCACAGGAATGGGAAGTGGAGTCATAGGGCAGTACGAGATCCTGCAGAGATTCTCTTAGAGTCTTTGCTGAAATGACTGGATATGACCTCATTTCACTAGTGCCCAACCCAGATCTTTGGGGATCTTTTTTTTCAGGAAGGCGGCTCATTCCTCAATTGATAAATGGTTAAAGGGAGTTTTCAGACTAAGTAATCAAAGCTATTTATAGTCCCATGAAAAAATACTCAAAATCACTATTAGGGAAATGCAAATTAAAACAACTCACCTCACACCTATCAGATTGGCTAATATGACAGAAAAGGAAAATGACAAATGTTGGAGGGGAGGTGAGAAAATTGAGACACTAATTCACTAATGTGCTAGCTTGTGAACTGATCCAACCATTCTGTAGAGCTATTTGGAATTATGCCCAAAGGGCTATAAAACCAAATATACGCTTTGGTTCAGAAATTCCACTACTAGGTCTGTATCCCAAAGAGATAAAAAACAAAAAGGAAAAAGGCCTATATGTACAAAAATATTTATAGCTGCTCTTTCAGTGGAGACAAAAAACTAGAAATTATGGGGTTGCCCATTAATTTAGGAATGGCTAAACAAGTTGTGATATGTGGTTGTGATGGAATACTATTACAGTACAACACAGGATGCTCTCAAAAAAACCTGTGATGATTCACATGAACTGATGCAAAAAGAAATGAACAGAACCAGGAAAACATTATACACAGTAACAGCAATATTGTACGATGCTCAACTATGAATGACTTAGCTATTCTCAGCGATACAATGATCCAAGACAATTCCAAAGGACTTACAATGAAAAATATTATCCATCTCCACAGAAAGAACCGATAGAGTCTGAATGCAAATTGAAGCATACTTTAAAAAATTTTTCTTTCTTTCTTTTATTGTTTTTGGTCTGCAGTTTCTTTCACAACATCAAATTGTTTGCTTTTTTCAGGGGATGGGGAGGAGTAAAGGCAGAGAGAGAATTTGGAACTCAAAATTTTAAAAAAATTCACGTTAAAATTTTTTTACACGTAATTGGGGGGTGGGGGCATAACTAATTTGATAATTAGGGCAGCTGGGCCCCTATGAACTCCTGTGGTTCACACCCTTGATTGGGACTCTAGGCATCTTGCCTGACACCCCCAGCCAATAGGGAGAAAGCTCTTGAGCGTCTTCTCTACAATGTGATGGTTCATTTGTGATGATTCAACTGTGATGGTTCCTGTTGTTAATGCTGAAAACAGTTTGTCATAGTAATCTTCATGGATCTTTTCTGCTTTTCTTCATTTTCGTCTCTTCCTTTGATATTTACCCTTAAATAGTCTCAGGATAATTCTGCTTAGTTTTCATTCAATTGGTTTTACCCCGACACTGCTTCTCTTAGCTTCATGAGAGGATACTGCTCATAATTGTACATCATTCTTTTCGGCAAGATTTTACAAATGAGTTTATATTTTAAACTAATATTGCCTTTTAGTTGCCATCTCTATTCACCAGGTAATTAAATCAAATGTTTGCAGAATCAAGGCACTTTCTGGGGCCTTTTGGTTTTACTGTGGCAGCAAATTTACATCTATTAAATTTCTGTATGAAATCATAACTGTTGTCAATGTCATTCGTATTGGTCCATTTTCCACTGCTAGTCACTCATTTAAATAGTTTAGATTAAGTATTTCATCTTTATGCCATCCCATTGTTCTCATTAACATCCTTTATTCTTGCTTTTTACTATGATCTTCCACACAACAACCCTTCAAATACATGAAGACAGTTATCATGGATCCTTTATGCCTTTTCCAGGCCCCAAATGCCTAATGTCTTCAACTGAACCTCATCTGGCATGATCTGAAGATCCTTTGAACATTCCTCTGACTGCTCTCTGCTTTATCAATATCATTTGTAATATGTGGAAATCAATCAACTAATATTTAAGTGCCGTCCATGGGCCAAGCACTGTGCTAGCTGCCAAGAATATACAGAACAAACCAATCCCTGCTCTTGAGAACCTTATGTTCTAATGAGGGAGTTTATACTCTAATGGTGATACTTATGACTCAACACAATAGTCTAGATGCGGTCTCAGGGCAGGGCATAGGGGGAATCTGACTGTCTCCCTTGTCCTGCACCCTTTGGCTCTTAACGCAGCCTAAGATTACATTTTATTTCTTGGCTGCATGTCACAATGCTCACTGATACAAAGCTGGTAATTCACAACAACGCCTGGATCTTTTTCACATAAACTTCTTTCTGGTCATGCCTTCCTCATTTAGTGCCTGTGATGTTGAGTTCTGAAATCCAAGTGTAGGACTATATAGATATTCATATTACATTTCATCTTAGGAGATTCAAGCCACCATTTTAGCCTTTCAAAAACATTTTGGATTTTGACTATAATGTCAGCCATACCCCTCCAGCTTCAGGTTGTCTTTAAATCTCAATGTCATCTATGCCTTAATCAAAGACATGGTAATGAGAATGTTAAAAACCACAGAACAGAACACAGATCCCTGCAGCACTCCACCAGAAACTTCCTTCTAAGCTGACATCAAACTCTTAACAATTGTTCCTTGGGTTAAGCCATTCAACTAAGTTATGAGTCCATCTTGTCCATAAGAATAGCTTGAGAGACTTGATCAAATGCTTTGCTAAAATCTAAGTAAATTATGTCTATAACAACCCCCTGGTCCATCAGTATAGTACTTTTCATCTGTTCCCCCATCCATGTGGGTATTTCTTCCAAAAATGTAGATTGGAATCCATCCCTGCAGGTCCACCTCGTGTTACGTCCTCCCCTAAATCTGTCATTGGAGTCAAAGCACTCGGAGGCTTTCACTAGTTTGCCTGTATTTGGATATGACAATGGAGTACACAGACTGCTCACTGGTTTGTTATGGTAGTAACAATGGAACATGCAGGCTTCTCATTGGCTACTTGCTCTTGCTAAGTGACTGGATCATCTTTTTTTCCCCCCTTCAGTCATTAATTTCTCTGGTGA